ACATATATATTCTTGTATGTGCAAATTTTAAATTTTAAAATGTTGGCATATACTGCACCAAACCAGCCCAACATGTGACTGACTGACTGCCCGTTTATAAACTAAATAGAAAATTTGACAAAGTAACCCCATGTTCCCTTCAGGCTCTCCAATTCTATGACATTTACTTTATATTTACAAGAAATCTCAAAGGTCAAAGTGTTTTTCTTGTGTGAATGCAATATTTTCTTCCCTATTCTGAAAGGGAAAAAGATACCTCAGTTAATTTTGTGCCATGCATCATGATTTGTAAAATTCTTTCCATATTCTAATCATATCTCTTAATTTAGCTTAACCATTTAAATTTCAGATTGATTCATTTTGTTTTAGGCATATGCCATGTAAAATGTAAAACTTCTTTTTTTCAAGTATTAACTCATCTGTTTTCCTAAAATTTGTCTTTACTTTGCGCTCAATAATTGCCTTTGTTTCACTGACATTTTTCTTCCATCTTTTTGTATCATCTTAAATTCTTTCCATGCAAAATTACATGAGAGAGAAATGTTAAGTCATCTTTTAACTTCATCCTGGAACACCACATCTTCAAATTAATATTTTAAAAAATTATTATTGTTATTACTGTTAATATAGGTAATAGTATATTGCAGAAAGTTCAACATTACAACATCCACAACAAAAAAACACAAAATACCCTTTTAATATATGGGGAAAGATGGAAATAAAGTTTCCTTTTATAACTTCTAAAAAGTATAGTTTATAATGTTGTATATATGCTTTGAAATAATATTCTCTTTTTGTTTATAAGAAAGCTCTAGGGGTGAATATCATGGATAGTTGCAGTGCTGACCCAAAGACCATTCCATGGAGGTTTGAATGTCATGTGTTTTATAGCCTCAGAAACCCAGCTCTTGAGTGGGTTCCGACTTGATGCCAATGAGTTTGATTTTTTTAAAAATAAACTTGTTAAATCTTCTATGTGCCACCATAAAATACTATAAAAATAGAATCACTTTTCTTATTTTATTATATTATAGATTTATAATTTATTATTTTTCAAACTTTTTTATCTTGGATATTTTCAAAACTACAAAAAAAAATTGGAAGGGTATAAAAATCATTACCCATGTGCTCTTCACCTTGATTTGCCAACTGTTAGAATTTTCCTTTGATTCATATTCTGTCTTTGTCTATCAGATTATAGCTATTTGCTGATGAGAGTTATAATGAGATTTTTAAAAATCAATTTGAAATAAAAATTGGTATCATTTAGCAGATAAAAATATCAAGAGATAGTATCTAAAGTGTAGCCAAACAATGTTGTTTGTTACTTTTTCTAATGAGCTACCTTTCATTTCTGTGTAATGCTACTGAGTAACATAATATTCATGTGGGTGGGTGGGTGGATGGATGGATGGATGGATGGATGGATGGATGCGTGGATGGATGGATGGATGCGTGGATGGATGGATGGATGCGTGGATGGATGGATGGATGCGTGGATGGATGGATGGATGGATGTTTTTGTTTCTGAGTGCCATCGAGTCAGAGCTGGCCCTTACCTGACCCTTCAGTAGGTTTTCAGAGACAGTAAATCACATTGGTGAATGCTTCCCATCTCTCTCTCCTAGAACAGCTGATGGATTCAAACTGCATACCTTTGCGTTGATAACACAGTTCCTTACCACCAAACAGCCAGAGCCCTCTAAGGATGAATGGTGATATTCATATAGAATGTGGCATTTCTGTTTTAGGAATGAATTCACATTTCTGTTTTAGGAATGAATTCACATTTTCTTATGTATTAGAACTATTAGCAGCTATAGCAAATTCCTCCACAATGTCAAATATTATTAATTGTACAGTAAGTTTTAATCAAAAAGAAGGCTAACTGAAGTTAATGATTTGGAAAACATTGTAATAATGAGCTTTCTATATCAGCTATATGTGAATACTGTTAATCTGCTGGTGCAGTGTTCTGGAATCTGCCTCCAGTTTAGTTCACGTTGCATCATGTCTGACAGTGCAGTCAGATAGCCCGGGTTCAAATACTGGCTCGACCACCTCATGTGTGACTCTAGACAGGTTGTTAAATCTCTGTATAACTGTATTTCCTTTTTAAAAAATAGGGTATGATAATAGTATACATGAAAAACTCTTGACTGAATTACATAATTCACAGCATGTGTCGTAAATGTTCAATAATTTGTTATTAAAATACTTTCATTCTTATTAATCCATTTCAAATCATGGTTATTTTTAGAATTTTGAACTGATCTTCATGATACTAACCTCTTCATATTCCACTCTATTTCTTTTGACCCTTTGGTAAGAGTTGTGTGTTTGGTTGTTTGTTTTGTTGTGTTTTTGTTGGGTTTTTTTTTTTTTCTTCTTTAAATCAACTTCATAGTATGTAAACATATTGTTTGGGCTTAAGACTTTAAACTTCTCTCCACCACAGGGCCTCTTCCACCTGCCCCACCTTCCTTAACTCTCCAGTCAATAACCTGCTTATGATCTTCTCCTGAATGTTTACTTACGTGCCAGATACTGCCCTATGTGCTTTTCAAGTCTTATTTTATGTGTTTATTTGATTTTCAGCAGTTTTGTGAGTTACGTATTGTTACTCCTCTCTAATTTCAGATCAGGAACTGAAGAATAAGATATTGAGTGACTTCTTGTCAGCGTGCAGATGGGATCTAGGCCTGACAACTCCAAAGCCTGGACTTTTAAGTCTAAATTGCTTTGCCTTTAAAGCCTTATATTTCAGCTCTTGGTTACTTAAGTAAGGAAATCATACTTAGCTTTCTCCTCTAATTTGATACCCACATTTGTGCTGTAATCTCTCTCTGAACATACTTGTCCTTGGAAATCCTGTGCCCCTTTTTCTTACTATTCTTTTTCTGTCTGGATGGTGTTTCCCATCTTTATATTTACGTACATTCTGCTCATCCTTTATCATCCTCATCAGGTGCCACATCCTCCGTAAAACCTTTCTTGACTGTCTACTCCTTCTCTAAAGAAGCTCAGATTTCTCTAAGTAAGTCTGACGATATTCTCTCTTAAAATTCTTCTCCATAATTGTATTTTAGGTTCTTTAAAATCAGAAATCTTACAAATTTGTGTCTCAGTATTTATAGGCAATGAGATTATTGCTGCTGCTGATGACTAGTTAATACTCATCTTCTGTGCTACTTACTATGCCGGGGTGCTTTGGATACATTATCTCAACTTACAGCACTGAGAGATATATTCTTTCTCCTGAACTATTCAATGAGCTTGGTAAAGTAATGACTTTCTCCTGAGTTATGAGGAAAAGATAGGGTTAGGATCATAGTTAAGTTCATCAGAGTCTTCCTGCTCTTTCTACTTCCCCCCCAAATTATTTTTTCATTGTACCAAACAGCTATTCACTCTCCACTTAGTAAGTATCCAGGTAGAATTTGTTACATTCCCTTGTGTTTACTTCCTATTTTTGCTAAATTCCTGATATGTAGTGAAAAACGACACTAAGTTAGAAATAATCAAATGGCTTTGTAAAGTTAATACATGCTTAAGGCACTGTCAACAACATTTTATAATTTTTTCCCCCAAAAAATAATGAATTATTTTATTTAATATAAGTTATTATCTAATTTGACAAGTTCATTATTTAGTACACACTGAAAGACATTGTCAATGACATTGTAGATTGATTGGAAGTTTTTGTTTTGTTTTAAATTCTTGAAGTCTCATTATTAGGACATTTCTTTTAAGGTAGGTTAGTCAGTCTAAGTTGTTTGTCCTGTATAACTCAGTACCTTTGTATGGATCTCAAGGACTTAGAGGAATTAATTGTGGATAATGTCTTAAAAGTCATTGATAGTAATTAATTAATATCATCATCAAATAAGTTGGAATGGCCTTTTTGGGATTGCAAGAGACCAGAGTTTAATGTTGTAGTACAGAAGGGTGCAGGATGTTTCTGTGTCTGAACCCTTGTAGCCTTCACAGTTGTGTTAATAACCAGTCACTCATATTTATGATCTTAGGAAGATAAAAAATGTAGTACTCTTACCCTATATGAGAGAACTCTGGTGCCCTAGCCCACAGGGTTACTGCTAACTCAAAGGCTATATCTCTCTGGTGGATCACATCCACCTGGAAAGATGAGAGGTTTCTTCCTGTGTAGTTATAGCCTCATAAACCCACAGGATTGTTGTCTGTGAACTCAATCTGACTCAACAGCAATTAGTGAATGCGTGAACCCTGTATTGAAATTCTAATCACAGTGGAAAGGGATATATTGTTATAGAAAAGCATGAGCATTGAATTAATACTCCATAGTCAGTCATAGAATCAAAACCGACCCATGGCTGACCCTCCAGTGAATTTTCAGAGACAGTTCATCACTTGGGAGGAGACTGCCCATCCTTCTCTCTTGGAGCAGCTGGTGGCCTCAAACTGTGTGCCTTCGGGATTGCAGCACAGCTGCTTGCTACTTTACATGACTTTTAAATGTTTACTGTATCTCTGACGTTTTTGTTGGCAAACGTTGTGGACAACCAAAAGAATAAACAAGTCGGTCTTGGATGAAGGGCAGCCATGTTGCTTCTTAGAGGCAAGGGTGGTGAAACGTCATCTCACACACTTGGGGCATGTTGTCAGCAGGAGTCAGACCTCGGAAAAAGCCATCACGTTGGGAAAGGTCAGTGAAAGAGAAGACCCTCAAAAAGATGTGTTGACTCAGTGACAGTAGGCTTGAGCGTGGTTGAAGATAGTAGTGATGGCTCAGGCTAGGGCAAGATTACAGTCTGGTTGTCCTAGGGTCGCAGGGAGTTGTAGTTGATTCCATGGCAACTAACAATAACAATAATATATGCTCTCTAACATGTAAAGCCTTGATTTTTCTTCTAGGGGAAAATAATACCCAACAATCAAATGTTGAACTCAGTGATCATGTTTGATCATTAAGGGGGCAAAGACTTGTCAGTGCACATTTAACCCTTGACTTTGCCTTACAGAGAGGATCTTGTTTCTTCTGAGGACCTGCTGGGGTGGCTGAGGCCCTTCTGTGGGGATGACGCCGTGCCGGTGAGGCCCCGCATCCGTGTGCTGCAGATCGTGGAGCAGTCCTTTCACCTGACCGAGGAAGATGGCAAGCTCCTGGTCTTCTTCAGAACGGAGGCCGTTGTCAAAGCTGCTTGGCCCCAGAGAGAAGTAAGGGAATATCTGTTAGTTGTATATTTTTTGCTATGAACAGTGATTTCTGGTCATTTCTTAGTTACTTCACTGTTGAGTGAATTATCATTTTGGTGTAGGGTAAATTTTTCCAATAGAATTATCAATCTAGCTATTTAGTATTTGAATATGTACAACTAAGTTTCTTTTACTTTATCCTAAGTTTGAACATGCCATATACATAGCACATTATGTCACACCCACCATTTATGTATCACTTTTCTCTTCATAGAATGTTCAAGATTTTTCACAGTCTCAGTAAATTGTGGTGATTTATTTTTTTTCTGAACGAAATGCAAATCTGAATGGAAATGCAGTCAGCAATTTAATTTCTCCTTGATGCTCTGCGCAGGCGCTAAGATCTTCTCTCTCCTCTTTGATATCTAGATATATCTGTATCTTATAAGTTAAAATTATTAAACATTTAAATGTAGCAGAGATAGGGGATCTTGTCCTTAATTTTTTTCATGGCTCACTTCCATCAATCTCTTCTCTGGACCTTTCCCTTATATCTCAGACCTTTTTTTTTTTTTTAAATCCCCAAGACATTTACATTTTAATTTGAGGAAAAAATGATATATATTCATGGTAACAACTAATTGCACAAGGATTATATGAGAACTGCAGATAATATGTACTCTAAGGAAAAAAGTGTAAAACTGTAGTTTTATGTTGTTGTTGTTGTTGTTGTTATGTGCCGTCAAGTTGCTTGCTACTCATAGCGGCCCTTTGTACAACAGCCCTAAACTCTGCTCTATCCTGTGCCAATCGCACTGTCCCCGACACT